TGGTAGACCCTTTAAGAAAAGGGCTTATCTTCAAATATCTCAATTAGAAAAGGAACAGCCATCGTTTCCACAGAATTCTGCCTTTTCCTTGTTTCTATCTGCTGATTTGCTCTTGTATGACATGAACAGTTGTTTTGATGAATGGCCAAGAACAACTGTTGAACTGCGTACAATGATAGGTGATGAACATCAAATGGCAGAATCGTTTAACGAACGATCTTGTCTTATAAGTAAGACACAGGCGTGCGTACTACCTTAAGAAAAGTTTAGCCTTGTTAGACTGTCTAGTTGAACACACACCATTTACTCCATCCTACGAACTTGTCGCTTGGGAGGGAAAACGGGGCAAACATCGAACAGGAGACAAGCATGCAACCTGGAAGAACACAGATCTTCTTTCGGAAAGGAAATGTTCCTTCTACAATTCAATGACCGGTAGCTTGCTGCAGATAGAAAGAAAATTGTAAACCACATACGTTCTGCTTATACAGACTGCACAAAGTGATGATCACACAAGCACATTAAATTAGACTAAAGGAATAGATCAATCGCCGCTGTACGTATCGAATCGCAAAATGCCCATTATAAAACATTTCCTGCGTGCAAATGACTTTTCAACAACGAAATACCACGCATTTATGCCAGAGACTGTGCTGTTCCCTGAAAAGTAATAATTCGCTTATCGAAAGAATCAATAAGTAAAAGTTAATTGAAAATCTCTTCACAGAGTTGAATCGAATTGTTGAATAAATGAAAGTACTTATGTACCATACAAGAAAAACATCGAGCATCAGGTGAAATAAATATATTTTTAAAGCTGAATGCAGAGTTATTTCTCTTGTGGTATCGGCGGGTCCATTGGTTTGCGTCGTCTGCGCAGTGTCGCTAGACTAGTCATAAAACGAGGAGACATAGTGAATACTACGGAATACTTCTCTATACCTTATGCTCGACGTAGCACTGAATTTCTGGTGTTGCCTAGTCCTGTTAGGAGCGCTGACTTCCGGCGAACACTCAGTTGACCAGTCAAATCGAACCGGAAATCTTTTTTTGGGTAACCAGTCAGAATATTCTGGAATGCTGTGCCAGCCAGTCACAGCTTGTTTGGCCTAGCAGTGTTCGTACTCGCATTGTTCGCTGTAG